GACATTTGATGATGCACGTGGCAAAGCGGACCAGGAGTTTGAATTGACGCGCGATTGCCGAGGAGAGGTTGAATACTCACCCAAGTAAGTGATAATATATGCGATCATATATTTGCATACTATGGTGAATATATATATTATAACAGTTCTTTGATAGATAAAGATAAAAAAAAAATAATAATATTTTAAAACATTAAATTTAATTTAGATTAATATTTAAGTATATTATATTGATTCTAAATTACCTCTATTACAGAGTGGTGACATTTTCCTCTGTACATCATTTGTCACTGTATTTCCCTAGCAATTATGGCGATGATGTTACGCGCATTTACTATATAGGTGAGTAAATTTAGTTATATACACATAGATGAAAAACGAAATTCTATTACCATTCCTTATTATAGGTTTTCGTGGTGAGTTTACGGAAGCCCATTTCCATGGCGTAACCATTTGCAACTATGAGTCACGTGCCAATATTTCCGATCATAAGGAAAAAACCTTCGATGGAGTGGGTCGGGCCATACAATAATCGATTAAGGAATCAAGAGAGAAGGAGGGGATATAAAAGCACTGAATATGTAATACTTACAATGCTGTAAATTAAACTTGTACAGATTATAGAAATGGGAATGTTTCTTTAATTTATTCTTTATTGTTTATCTTATTGATTTATGCTTATAAGATGAGATATCGAATCACGTGTGTCAATGTCAATGCATAACGCTTTTTATTACTCAATAGTATTTTTCATTTTCCATAATCTTTTTTTTTTTTTATTGTTTTTCATTTTTTTCTCATTTCATTCAGTATTTTTAATAAATTGTTTATATGTATTTTACAAAGCGTTTACTTAAATGTATTTAATTTTACATTTATTACCGAATAATTTGTTATTGCACTAGTTTTTGTTTTTGTTTTTCATTTTCCTTTTTTTTTATTATTATTATTTTAATAATTTTTTTCTCCATCTGCTCAATTATTGTAGTTGACATTTTCTTCGTTAAAGTATGCGTTTTTTGGTTTGTTCTGTGTTTGTTTTGATATCTAATATTTAGATTAATAGACATACACCATGTGTTCCATTTGGGTAAAAACTTTCAATCTGAATGATTCATTTATGTTGTCCTTTTATTTTACTTGAAACACATTGTGCATATACAAATGCAATAGGAGAAAACGAAATTGTATTCAAATGAATGCTTGAAATTCTTTTTTTTTTTTTTTTTCATTTCATATTTGGTTTTTGTTGCTTTAGGTAAAATTAGTTAATATATATATGTATTTACAAATTGTATGCGCATACAAAATAACGCGTTTATAGGCTGAAAAATATATGCGTGGGTGTCTTTATGTGTGATATAATTTGTAGTTTATGTCTATATATGTGTCTGTGTGTCTGTGTTTGGGCAGGGATTGGGTCTTTAAGTGGGAGTTGGCGTAAAGCAAAGTTCGGTGATCAATTTGTGCGATTCTTTAGCTAGATACACATACATGTTAAATATTTAGTTGTGTATATAAATATGTATATATTTGATTTTATATGTGTGTGTTTTTGTGTGTCTGTGTGATTGAGAGTGGAATTTAAAAAAAGTTTTTTCTTAGTATTTGATTTTTTTTATTTATTTTTGTTAAACAAAATTTGTGCTCTCGTTCCATAGTTGCAGTTAGGGTTTATATATATGTATACATATATATAATTACATTCGTATATTATATATATATATATCGACTGTAAGTACGATTTTTGCAGCAAATCAATATTGTTTTTTATTTATTTATTTATTTTTTGTTACAAAATACATTACGTTACTTTTTAGCTGATACCCCAAAAAATCGTCAGTTTTTTGTTTTTGTTTTGTTTTTTTTTTTTTTTTTTTTTACATTTGACGCTGAAACAGTGAAAAAATGGCGCGCAGCAACTGACAGCAAACAAAAATCTTTTTC